TATATATATATATATATATATATATATATATATATATATATATATATATATATATATATATATATATATATATATATATATATATATTCTTGCGAAACATTAATTTTTTTAATACTTTTGGAATGTACACATGTGGAAAAAAGAAGAAAAAGACGTGACTATCTGAGAATGAGAAGCCATAGTAGAAAAGAAGAAAAAAAATTGGGGGACCATTTTGAAAGACATCAAAACGATTAGAGAAGACCAAGTTGGCCATTTTAATTGTAATGGAAAGAATTAGAAATCTTAAAGCAAAAAAGATCCAAATGATCATGAACAGGGAAAGGAATTACAAATTAAATAGAAAAGGGAAAAAAGAAGAAGATGTTTACGCCCATGCATTGAAATAAACATCAAAGATATAGGAAGTGCACAAACCATTTTGTGAATGTTTAAGCAAGCCATTGGATTTTTCCGTAGCAAAAAAAAAAAAAAAAGTGTTAAGTTTAGCGAGTAAGCAATGTCCCACAAGTTTCAGAGAAGGAAATCTTTCTTTTTTTTCTTCTGGGGGTGAAAGTTATGGAAGAAATGTTGAAGAGAAGAGGGGAAATGGTGAGGTATTTATAGAGTGTAGCTATGGGTAATATATTGAGAAGTTACGTGAGGAAAGAAGAGAAAAGACTAATTAATAAGGGAGTAGTAAAAAAGTCCATTAGAGAAAAGGACAGAATATGATGACAAAGCAATGTGTTGGAAGCAAAAAATACTCCCTCCGTTCCAATTTATGTGAACATGTGTGACTGGACACGGAGTTTAAGAAAAAATGAAGATTTTTAGAATTTGTGGTCCTAAACAAGTCACAAAGGGGGCCAGAGTATTTGTGTGGTTATAAAAACTTTTTATTAAGTGTAGAATTGTAAATTTAAACTAAATTGGTACCAAATTTAGAAAGGGATCATTCTTTTTAGAACGGACCAAAAAAGAAATAAGTTAAACGGCATAAATTGAAGGAGGAAAAGAAGTGTACGTATGTGATTTGGCTGGAAACAGAGAGTTGGTGTCTCTCTCACGAGATGAAAGAGTTGCTGTATCTTTATTGTGATTAAGCTGTACTGATGTTGACACATTCCCAATCTTATTTATTTATTGTTGATGTGGAAATAAAAAATTGTAAATGTGTTTTAGCATAGTATGGCCTAGTGGAAATCAGGATTTCAAATGTGTTTGTGAGATTTAAAAGAACTCCAAACAGCATAGCTATAAAAGAGTTGCAGATGTGATAATTAAGTTGAAATGCAAATGTGATAAACGTAAGTAGAATTAATTAACTGTAATATTCTATTTTCCCTAATCTTTTCACTACCACTTCTGATTATATGTCAAAACTTAACTAAGTCAAATCAATACAGCTGGATTATTTTCCACAAAACCATCCTAATTAACCTTATTAATGGAGAATTTTACTGTACGTGATAGTAATATTTAAGCGGCCCCTCTTTATAAAACACTTGGTCATGAGAATTTCAGTGACCAAACTTTTAACAAGCTAGGCAGTTTTGGCAAATAAAAGTTTTTGCTACCCTTGGAATGTTTGGTCTAATAATATGGCTAATTAAGGCATATGCTTTGGATTCCGACATTCTATGGTGGCCTGAGAATATCTCTGAGTAATTATATATTTTTTAATATTGATCAGGTGCATTAAGAGATCTCAATACCAAAACAGAATAGAGAGATTTTGATTTAACATACTTTATATATGGTGGGAAACTTTTTTTAAGGTGATGTTCTTTTGTATGTAGATCTTATTGAAATGACATTGAACCTGGCAAGGGGCAGTAAAACCATTTTGTATCTTAATTAAGATGGGACCAATGGAGAGATGATAAAGCAAAATTTAGGTGAGACAAATTAAAGGGGAGGTCTTTTCAAGTTAATAATTAACAGCGACAACTAATGAAACAAGCTTAGCTGCCTTCAACAAAACTTTTGTGTGCTCTAATTTGGAAAATTCAGTAAAAATAGGACAAGCACGTGATATATCACTTAGGTAGCCATCTTACATCCTTATTTTTGGGCACTTCAAATGTTTGAGGACTGCTCTATTGTCATTGTCAATTGAGAAGAGACTATTTATACATAACCAAAATATGTATAACGCAAAGAGGGTGTAATATCTTAACAGTCGTTTGTCCCGTTAAGTTATAGAGCCCTTTAAACGGGCGTTATACATATAGCGCTTTTTATTAAGGCGTTATACTTGGAGCTGATAAGACAGGTATGTATAGCGCAGTTTATAAAAGCGCTATATGTATAGTGCTTTTATAAACCTCGCTATACATAAATAAGTACTCGTCCACTTCCCTTTCCCCCCACGTTCGATAGAAGCTTCTCCCCCTAGCCAAGCCTTCTATTGTTGTGGGTTACTTGTTTTGGACTCAAATTTTCAATTCTTCAACTTTCCGAAAAATATAAGTCGAGGTATTCCGATTTAATTTATGTCGAAACTCGTATAAATAATGCATATTAGTTATTTTGAATGTGTTCCACGTTGTTTTGTGTTTTTTTTTTTTTTGCGATTAAACTAGTATGTTATTTTTGTTTGGACTAAGATATTAGTTTTCTTAAAAAAATATGTAAAAATTAAGAAATCATTATTATTTATTAATAAAAATATTAGTAAATTACTTTTACTGTTTTATATATATATAT